TTTTACATTTCACCACTGCTCTATCACTAGTGCTGAAGGCTAAAAACAAACAGTTCAAGTAAACATTACTTAAGAACAAAACTCAAGCTAGCACCATAACCCCTTTGGTGTGTTCAGGAATTAGATTATTACAGGTAGTCCTTGACTTATATTCTTTTATTGAGCGTTCAAGTTACAACAGCTCTAAAAAAGTGATCATGATTGTTCCTCCCACTTATGACCATTGCCACATTCCCATAGCCACATGATCAAAATTCAGGTGCTTGGCAACCAGCATGTAGTCACAACAGTTGCAGCCTTCTGGGCTCATGAGACCATCATTTGTGACCTTCCCAACTGGCTTCCGACAAGCATATTCAATGGGAAAGTTGGATTCCCTTAACAATGGTGCAATTCATTTAACAACCATGGCAAAAATGTTGTAAAATCAGGTGTGCCTCACTTAACAATTGCCTTGTTTAGTAATGGAAATTCTGATCTCAGTTGTGACTGTAAGTCGAGGGCTACCTGAAAAAGTCCTGGAAGAACAAGCTCAGGGAGCGTAGTAAGTGAAACACTCTGTATTTTGACCACACTAATGCCAGGACTATGTGGATGGTTTTCATTTGATTCACAAATAGAGAGATTTGTGTCTAGATTGCCTCAGGCAATTTTACTGTGTTTAAGTGGAAGCTAGATAGTTATCTATTTTAATAGCTATTTCTTCATTCAACAGAATAGAATGGGCTCAGTGGCCTAAATCCAATCCAATGCAATGCAATCCAATCCAATCCAATCCAATCCAATCCAATCCAATGCAATCCAATCCAATCCAATCCAATCCAATCCAATATAATATAATACAATCCCACCTCTGTGATTTCTCCAATTCCAATTTCATCATTTTGTCCTTTTTAAAAGCTCTCATGACAGAAGGCTTTCCCAGATATTGAGGGTAAGAAGGTCAAACGTTGTCCTTGTGGCACATCTCAAGGTCTCCCGTTCTTCTACTTCCAGCTTCTGGTTATTTAAGGAGAGAATTTATGGCTAGGCTTAGTTTTTGCCTTGAAATGGTAGAGTTCTAAGGAAAATGCATGGAATCTTTTTTACAAGCAAGGATCAAGGGGTCAGGTGGCACAAGCGGAATTATACTGCTATAGTTGTTCTCTGTCTATTTTTGAATCACCATTTAGCTATAATCTCTATGGCTTTCAGGATCATTTTATTGGGTTGAGCACACAGTTAGGTGTGTGAAATAAATTATCCCAGATATGGCTGCTCAAATTTTACATAAAATAAATACAACACAATTCCAGAATGTTACAAAATTCAAACCCTCTAACAATATTAAGATGCTTTAATTATCAATTAAAAGCTGGTTGATGAGCATTAAGCTTCTGGAAAGTAGGGCTGAGAAGAGTCTGATGCTCACTTTCAATCAATGATGTCAGAACCTTTTTAGTACAGGTTAAGCTTCATTAGCATTTGAGTGTGACATCACCAGGAAATTCTAGGCTACAGTCAATAGCATAGCATAGCATAGCATAGCATAGCATAGCATAGCACAGCACAGCACAGCACAGCACAGCACAGCACAGCACAGCACAGCACAGCACAGCACAGCATAGCATAGCATAGCATAGCATAGCATAGCATAGCATAGCATAGAAATTCTTTATTGGCCAAGTGTGATTGGACACACAATGAATTTGTCTTGGTGCATATACTCTCAGTGTACATAAAAGAAAAGATACATCGTCATGAATCATAAGGTACAACACTTAATGATAGTCATAGTCTAACATTTCCAAATAATGGAAACTTGGAGGAAAAAAATCTGGAACAAATTCTATAGAGCATTGGAGGTGTCCCTATAGACACCAAGAATCAGGTTCATCTCAGAAGAAACTTTACCTTTAATGTCTGAATCAGTAACTTCCATTTTAATGGGTTATTTGTTTAGTGTATGGCATATCATACATGGATTTGCAATATATATTAACTTTTCATGCAGATTAATAAAATACAATAAAATACAAATGTTAAAAGGATCTATATTCAAGTAGCAATGTCTAGGGCCCCTAGGCCATCTAACCATTAAAACATAGCATCATTTATATGAAAAAAAATCAGAAACTGGACTGGTATATATCTAAGCTTACAGCTGGTCACTATGTGAGCTTTATACATGCAGATGAGATCTATACATTTCTAAACTGTGAATAAGCCAATTCAGAAATTTGCAGATTTATACCACACATGTTAAGGATGCTGGCAGCTACAAGATGATCTTCACATCCTCCATACTCATAAAAGTCAACTTTATGTTTTGTTCAGCATTGTCACCATTTCCACAATGCAGCCGAAAGATACATGTGGCTCACATAAATACCAAGCAGAGCTTCAATTGCACTCTTGCAGCTATTGCCTTGATTTCTTTTTATCATACCCTGCAAATATTCCTGGGCCTTAGGGGTGCCACAGAAACCCTGAAAAATGAGTCCTGTTTCCTCATTTCTTTCATACTGTATATCCCTTAAGCAGTCACATCAGAATTCCACTTCTGCAACTGACATGGCAACTTCCTTTCCATCGTTAACCGATGTCTTTGGAAGAAAGCTAAAAGAACATGCTCCCTTCTCTCTATCTGCATGGCACCCTGCTCCACTTAGTCTCTCTCATCACTGTTCTTCCAAATATCTATAGCATCCATTGCTGCACAAGTTTAAAACCAAATGCAGTTTCTACTCAGCAACTCATGACTTAAAAGATAGGACATGAAAGGCAAAAAGGGAGTCAAAGAGATCCTGCCCACAAAGCTAAGATAGCTTATTGCTCTGTGTAAAAACATAGCAATATACTTCAAGGCTTTTAAAGAGGGCAATGGCTGGAATTTGGTAAGATTAAGATGCTGGCAGTCTCTCCAGTTTTAAAACAGATAAGCTGAGGAGTGAGTTGGCAGGATTTAATGTCAAATGATTGGTGGGCTTCTTGAAGATAACCTGATTTCTCTAAGGAGAGTTAACAAGGCAGCCTTTACCCCACCCCAAATCCTCTCCTGGAGAGCTTTATAGCTGAATGAGCTCACTTGCTTGACTTGCTTATAGTCTTGCTCTGTGAATATCCATATGTCAGAATGAAATTTAGTAGACTTGGAAACTCTGAGTCTAGAAGTCACGAGGACTTCTCACTAAATCTACATAAATATGCCAGTAAAGTTATGCCTCTTTTCACACACTTTCTTCAATAATATGTTTTTCATTATTTTATAAGGTACGAGTTGCCACCTTATTTAGGGATAAAAATAACTGAGATGGGACATTAAGGAGATGATGGCTGGAGGCAACATGCTGTAGAGCAGTTTCTTAACCTTGGCATCTTTAAAATGTGTGGACTTCATTTCCAGAATTCCGTTTTAAATACATTTTAAAGGTGCCAAGGTTTAGAAACACTGCCCTAGAGGCACATTTCAGCTATTTACTTACATATTAAATAAATGCATGAAGTTATCAGTATTCCCACTCTTGCCTCCTTAGAAAAAAATTAGCTATAGGGAAGGATTTTTTAACGAATGAAGGTGAATATACAGTAGATGTCCCAGGATAATATTGCAGGATCCAATCTGGGTCGGTCACCAGGACTAGAGGTTTTGTCTTCCAAGCTTTCAGACTCATGCTGGAGGCCATCTTCAGGGAACTTCTCTAGAAGAGTGTGTGTGTGTGTGTGTGTGCTCTGTGTGTGGTATTTATGTGGTGCCCATTGTATGTGGCTTTTTAGATGGTGATTGGGGTGTTGAGAGCTGACTATTAAGTTGTTGACTGTCATTTGCTTGTGCTGCCCAGCCCTCACCTTCTAAGTGCTTGATAAGCTGGCGGTAAATCAGCATTCCTGTTGACCAATGAATGGCCGTTTCCCAATCTTCAATCACTTTCCTGGCTGTTTTTGTGCCTGCTCAGCCAACAATCTTAATCATCCAAAAAGCCACATACAACAGGCACCATAAAATACCACACACAGAACGGCACACACTCTGCTAGAGAGAAGTTCCCTGAAGATGGGCTCCAGCACAAATCCAAAAGCTTGTAGGACAAAACCTCTGATTCTGATGACTGACCCAGATTAGATTCTGCAAGCATTTTTTAAATCCACTTTTAAAGAAAGTTAATATATGACGGTTTATTGTGTGACAGTTTATAACCTGTCTTCTTTCACTTCTCCCTTTTATCCTTCTCACGCTAGCCACTTTAAAAAATCCATTTGTTTCTATGCTGACTGAAGCTCCTTTACCGTTCTTTCTGTTAGACTGTTGCAAACCGTACATAATATTTTTACATAATAGTGTATTATACACACAATAGTGATATTACATACACTTTACTGATTCAAAAAGAAATAGGACTGCTCCACAAGCAGCACTATATCAGTGCCAGAAAAGGCTAACCTTGCTAAAGAGCCATGTCAACAAATGTGCCCATCCAGGAAAACAAATGGTGAGAAGACCGTAACTTTTTCCATCTTTCTTTCTTTTCTTAAAAATTCTGAATGTTTTTCTGAATGTTAAAGTAGGACACTTTCCACCTTGATCAATAAATAATACAGGTACTCTTGGCTGATTTATACATCCTAAAAGTTTTGCTGGACTCTGAGCCTATCCAGCAATGCAGTTACCCTGAGTATAAACCAGGTTAGAAGGAAATAATATTTGGATGGAGCACCAATGAAACATTCCAGAGACAGGTTTTTTTAGGACCCAGAAGTTTAAAAATACCGAGGAAGAAAGCAATGACAAACCACTTTTCTACTGTTGCCAAATCAATGGAATGGATCTGTCCATGTGAGGACCAGGAGTTAAGCTTTAGTTGAAGTTCTTTTTGCCTTTTATAGGACTAGGATTTCTGTGTCAGGGAGTTGTAATGGGATCTCTTAAAGAGTTATGTTCTTCATGAATATTCCCTATTATATCATTTACTGCTTGAAAAAGTCTTCATTCTCAATTGAAACCACTTATGAAAACTGCAAAACATTTTTAACATCATAGTATTTATTAGCTTCTGAAACAATACACATTCACATACTTGAGAATACAGTACATTTGGCACAGTAATAATGGCTACAGTGAAATAACCCTAATGAATGGCAAGAGATTTAAATTACAACTGTAGGAAAAAGTCTGTACAAAGAAAATCTCACAATTGAAGAAAAAACAAAAACAAACCCAAAACAAAGCAAAAATACTACCTGGTCCTGTAACATTCAGTAAATTTCATATTTTCCCCAAGAACTATTCTCCACAAAATTTCAGATAAGGTTTTTTTTAAAGCCTTTCTAGAGAGAGAACATTAGTTTTATTGTAGAGGGAGAGGCAATATTATCCCCATGAACAGTGACTTCAAAAAAAACAAAATGAGAAAAAGTGGTCTGTTGTGATTTCTTTCCATTTTTCCATTTGGCATTTCGCACACTTTTTACGCATCCTTCTCCTATCACTCCAGAAGGATAGGGGGAAAACTTTACAAAAAGAAAAAAAAAACCTTTTAATTACCTGCTAATTTTTTGAAGGTTTGAGAAAAATGAGGAAACTGCTAAATGGAATGGTTCAGGAATAGAATTCACCTATACGCTGATGGCAGCAAGAAGTTCTGCACACAACCCAATTGCTTCCTTTGGCTTTCAGTACAGTACAGTACAGGTGCCATGTATCCTCTTTGGTGGCCTTGCATGCTGATAGATTCACCCATTTCTATAAAAAAAATTAATCTGGACAGTAACCCAGGCAATTCAATATACATTCAGGTTCAGGTATCATGATGCAGCCTGAGATATATGTTAGCCACATACCTGCCATGGGCGAAATCCATTAAAGTTTAATTGCATGGGTTTCTGTTGCAGGATCAAGGTGGACTTCAGGATTACAGCTGAAATATCTTTGCATGCAAAAACACTAACTTTTTCCTATTTGGCATCCTAAAGAGAGAAATACAGGAACTGCATAAATGTTTGTCAGAAATTGTGCATGCCAGGAAAGGGAAGTCATATACTCCACCATTTTGCTTACAGCAGCTTTGTGGAATGCACATTTTATTCTCTTATAAAGAACCACTAATCTCCATTTTGTATAAAGACCTTGCATGCCATGCAAACAAGACTGTGCTGGGCAATCATTCTGCAGTTTTGGGAGTCCTTTTGCAATTTCCAAAGTTTTCATTCACCTATGGAAAACACCGCTTGGCTTTGTTCATTCTTGCACTGGATGTTCAAAGTTAACTTCATAAGAAAAATATACAGATCAGGTATTCTAAAGGGCATTTTTACACTCTTTCCCTCTAAAATGAAAATACAATGAGATGATACATCCTTTGTGATATTTCTGTGCTTTCGCTCTAGAAGCCAGAGGGTGAGGAGATGGGATTTCTTCCCCCTACCCCCAGCCCCTTAGTTTTTATTAAAAATAAAATAAATTATTTAACAATGTTTGATACTTTATTACTTTGGTAAGCCAGACAACACATGACTTGGTGTAGCATATTTAATATTCTGAAATCCTCATATGAATACATACATATATGTATATATATTTATATATAATAATAATAATAATTACACCTGAGTTTAAAAAAAACACAACATAAGGGAATTAAATGTCTTTGTCACCAAAAGTGGCTCTGAACAGCCATACATAAAACTGATGTAACCTGTCTCTTTCAAAAGATGACTTGCACCACCTTTTCAAGCTAATTTGAGGCCTGGAAATCGCTCCATGTGGCTTCTTGCGACATTATGGAAAGTTACAGGCCACATGGGAGAAGCCCACGACAGGTGCCTTTTCTGGAAATTGGGGCATAGTGTCTATATGTTATGGATTGTATGCCTTGAGGCAATCCTGCTTTGGTTGGTGGGTTCCTCGGGACTCATCTGAAGGCACAGTCTGCAACAATTTGACCAATTTTATCCATGTATCAAGTAGTTCAGCCTAGCTCTTTGTAATTTACCACATGACATTTTTTATGACAGACTATCCTTGCTCAAATTGCTGACAAAGCATTTTTAAGAGGAGCTCCAGAGCAGGCTCCTGTAGCTGTCCAGGCATACCCAGTTCAGATGCTGTTCCTATCTACTAGCATGGAAGGTCACTTTTGATAGCCAGGAGGTTCTACATTCTCTGACGAAGAAGCCTTTCTGCAACCATTTTCTTCTCCTAGAGATCACATGAGATGGGGCATGTGTCTGAAAGATGTGCTTTGGTCAATAGTGGTCCCTTCTCTCCCCCTCTCCCCGCTCTCTCTACCATTCCATATACAGTTTAAGCGAACTGTACGGGAGAATCAGTACAGCTTAATATAGGTTTACATCTGTCCTATAAGGAAAAAAAGAGAGGGAAATTCATCTGTGACAGTAACTTGAACCAATATACAAACAGAGTAGTGCACATGGACATAATCATAATTATTCTTTCATAGGCTAATTTTAATAATATGCCTGAACATGCAGCAGTTGATACCTCTATATTCATTGAGTCCCACAGGCCTTGCAATAAACATCTATATACAAATCTCACTGGGAGAGAGAGAGAGAGAGAGAGAGAGAGAGAGAGAGAGAGGGAGGGAGAGGGAGAGGGAGAGGGAGAGAGAGACGGAGAGAGAAAAGAAGAAAGGAAAAGTTGGGAAAATGCTTTATGACTGCCCCTCTGTCTCCCCATGTCCAAAAGTCAGGCTCCATAGCCAATATACTTTATGCATAGACAATATGCTTTATTAATATTTTTTTCAGAGAAAAAGATCATATACCATACTTAGGAATGGTCAAATGACAAGTGTTAAACGACTAAGGAAGTGTTTAGAAGAAAATTGCAACCAATTCAAACATTTTATGTAAATTTTATAATAAAGTGTCTATGGGGCTTCACTTTTGGTACACCCTGTATGTAAGTGTGCGTGTATGTTTGTGTGTGTGTGTATATATGAAAAATCCAAGTGCAACAAATAAAAAGGATTCCCTTAACTGCTCATTCAGTCTATATATATATAGACTAATCTATATACACACACATACGTGTATATATATGTATATATACATATATATATAAATGTGAATGATACATATACAAGCACGCATGTCCACGCTCACATATACAAAAATGCAGTATTCCCAGAAATATGAGTAAATAACACTATCAGCATATCTACAAGCGGTAACTTCACATTTCTTTCTTAATGTATTTTCCACATGAGTTACCAGTTTATCATGATTACACAAGAAATCCATTTACAACCTTCAACAATGTCAGTTTTTGAATCTTGATCTTAGTCTCTCCCTCCTTTTTTCATTTCATGAATGGCTTTGCTTTGCTTTGTGGTTTTCCTATTGACCACAATTATCACATCAGTTCTTTCAAAGCTTTTCACAACCAAACAGTAGTACTACTGGGCTGACCCACAGTACAGTAGTATGGCATTCCAGGATCTCCATCTCCAGCCCTCTGCTTTTACACAGGGCCCCAGAAGAGGACAGAGGTAACTGGAGGTGAGCATTCAGCAAAGAGAAAGGGAGGACAAAGGCTATGTACAATGAAGGATGGGTCATCCCATTTTTGTGGGTAAAAGCCTGCAAAAGTAACACACTGCTATTGAAGTTAAAATTAAATAAGCAAAGCAGGTCATCATTCAGGTTCAATACATAAAAAAGAGGCTCCCCCCTCCCCCTTAAGTCCCCTTCACACCTGTCAATGCACCAATGACATAAACAATTTAGGCACATGCTTTTAAACAGTTTGACTATGGAAGGATTATCATAAATATGGCAAAGCTGCTGTAAGAACCGTAGAAAACCTATGCTGCTTTATTAAAGCTAGTATAGGCTTTTGAGAATTTGTCCATTCTTAGCCCTTGAAACACCTGTCTTTGTAGCATTTGTGTTAGTGATTTTTTAAAAAAAAAAATTAGTTATAATTTCTAAATAAAAACTTTTAAAAAGTCATGTATTCTTTAAAAATATAGCTTTTTCCTGAAATGTTTTCCATAGCATTTATTATTTTAATCACAATGCTTTCAGTCAGAGTATTTGCTTTTTCAAGACCCAGCCTTGCAACAAAATGCTCTTTAAAATATACATGTTGGGGGAAGGGGCAGTGGAAAATCATTTTGCTCCATTCACTGCTGTACCACAGCATGGCTTGTTAATGTTTTAGCAAGCTGCTCTACTATAAGTATGGGTGACTGAAACCCATAGAAAAGAGAAGGGTAGGATTCCTTCCTGTCAGTTACTTGCGTTTCTAGAAAAAAAAGTTTCAAGAAACAGATTTTAAGAAGAACATCATAGAGTTTCTAACTATGTTTTCGATGAGTGTTTGCTTAATAATAAGTTCCATCGTGTTTGAGGTTTAATTGTGGGTTAAAAGTGGCACAGTTCAGCCTCAGAATCATAATATGCAGGAAGTCCTGCATAGCATACAATGGCTTTTTCATCTTGATGACATTCTCCTTCTAGGCTCCCATCAGAATTAAGAGGAAACGATCCCCAGCAATTGACTGTCTTATTCCTGGGCAGCTGTCAACTCACAAGCTTAGAGCAGCCCTTGTCCCACTAAGCCAGTGGTGGGTTGCTCCCGGTTCTGTCTGGTTCTTTAGAACTGGTAGTAAAAGTGATGGGAGGCTCCACCCATCCACCCGGACGTCACAATTGACGATCTGTGCATACGCAGAAGCGCGCACTCCCGTTGTGAACCGGTAGTAAAGATAAGTAGAACCCCCTCCCCCAAACTAAGCTCTGGTTCCGACTAGGACAGTGCAACACCAAGAAGCAGTTAGAGAAAGAGTTGGCATCCGTGTAGCCATCACTAGCATTTTCTCTGCAACTTTCCCATTTTCTCTGCGTCTGATGCATCTTTACCCTGAAAGAAGTCCATATATCATGGCAACTTCTGATTGCATGTGGAAAACTGCCTTTTCCTTTGATCTGATTGTGAAACAGATTAGGGCAGATTATGTAGTTTTGTTCACATCTTTGAATTCTGAGAATTCAATGCTGCCCTCTGTTGCTTCCAATCACAATGAGAGCAGGGGTTTTAATCAACCAAGGCAGTGTATTTTTTTTAAAAAAAATCTGAGTTCTGAAAAATTGTAGTGTATCAACAGATTTCAGTTACCTTTTCATTTAACCCAGGGATCTCCAAACTTGGGAATTTTAAGACTTGTTGGCTTCAACTCCCAGAATTCCCCAGCCTCCCCAACATGGCTGGCTGGGGAATTCTGGGAGTTGAAGTCCACAAGTCTTAAAGTTCCCAAGTTTGGAGACCCCTGATTTAACCCTCTGAGGTTAAATGGATGAAAGCCAGTCTGAGTTCAACTGAGATCTCAGACGCATGATAAGCTGCCAAACGGAAACTGTTTTCAGCTGCTTTTGTGTATTTCAGCCTCTACACAGTTTACTAAATTATTTCTGTGTACTAGAACTAAGTGGGTTTCTAGCATCTCTTTGCTCACCAGGTAACAATGCCTTGGGACAGCAATTAATGAAGGCATACATGGTATTATACCTGGAGCATCAATTAGTAGCCATATTGACCAAGACAGATCTCTCAGCTCTCATATATTTAAAATGCTTGTCTTTCAAAGGTAAATGCTTCATTCAGTTTATTTTGAATATTGGAAATCTGGGAACTCCATTCTATGCACATGAATTGGAAAGAAATTGTTACATTGGATTCTATAAATGACTTGCATGATTAGCCCAAATGTGTAAAAACTTTTAACCTAGTGTTGGAGCCAGACATACTTAAAACAGGCCTAATAAAGGAACTGAATTTAAATTAGCTGAAGCAAGATGAAATCTGAATTATTTCAGTGAATCTAAGGGGAGGAATATGGGGGTTTGTTCCCCATCAGACTAAATACAATTGCTTGCATCTACACTAGAAACTACAGTCCAAATTAGGATAGTAGTAGGAGACAAAAAGTTAGACCCTCCAACCTCCAATCTATTTTGGTGTGTTTTTAAAACAACCTTGAGCCTGAAATTTTAAAATGTGTAGTCCTAAGAGTGGAGAGGTGCCTAACACTTACTCATAGCAGCGGCTTTTTCCTCTCCAAATGGTTCCCAAAGGTTTTGCCTCCCCAGATAAGATTTAAAATCAGTGTTTATCTTCTAAGACACAGTTTTTCAATCGCAGCAACATTAAGGCATGTGGACTTCAACTCCCAGAATTCCAGCATGGGGAATTCTGGGAGTTGAAGTCCACACATTTTAAAGCCGCTGAGGCTGAAAAACACCATTCTAAGACATACAACAGAACTTTGAGAAGATCACATTTGACAGATTAGGGCATATTTCTCTTGCCTGACACTAAATGCAAAACTTCAGTTTCCTAAGGTTGCATTCCATGGAAAGAGCTGCCTATTGAGGAATTGAAGTTCATTCCAAACCTATCCATTTGAATGTTAAGGGTGTAAGCTCAACTATTCCTGTTGACAATTTGTTGAAATCAATGGCAAAAGGGTTTTATGTTTATCTCTCATGCTTCATAAGGCCCCTAGCAATCATCGCAGAATGCAATGAGCTGATTCCAAGCTCAGTAAATCTTATGGCTGATTTATAGATTTGTGTTTGAGGTGAAAATAAGTCATAATGAAGTATTTCTCTCTCTCTATAATCATATAACAAATATACTTATCCATCTAGCACAATGTGATGAGATACCTATTTATGGCATCTTGGAAAAAAGTTATCTAACCTTCAGTACATACTCTAGACCATAATTTTAAGCATTAAAAGATGAAGCTAAAATTCCTAGTGATTTTTAAATATTAAAAATGGTTGAACAATTTACTTTTGACAGTGCTAGGTGATTTTAAAAAAGGCAAAGCCTTCCTGAAAATTAAAAAAAAGTCTGAATAGAAAGAGAACAAGAGACACAGCAGCAAAAAACAACAGCAATGTGTTACCTTTACAATTTCTAATACAAAATATTTTGCATTGCTTTGTAAAACAGCTAATATGAGTGCCTCCAGATCAAAGAAATATAACAATAAATAGACAGTAGAAAGTAATGGGTTTAGGCTCATGATCAGAGAAGCAGTTCTTGATGGTGTAGCTGGAGGATTTTTCAGAACACAACTTGCAGCATCTGTGATCTGGCGGTTCCAATTTAGGGGTGGGGGGAATATCTTATGGCAGCAGCTCTTCTCCAAAATATGAGAAGCCTTTAAATTCTTCTTGGTTGATTTGCTTTATAATTGTCTCATCCACTGGTGTTAATGTTGGGTCTTCTCGTGTAAAGTCTTGATCAAAGTTATTTACATCCCGTTTGGTTTTCTGAGAAACAAAAGGAAAAGATGAAGAATGAGTGGCATTCTTGCACCAACAACCAACTTTTTAAAAAAACTGGGATTCTAAAAGAGTGATAGTTTGGATTCTAAAACAGGGGTTGGGAACTATGGCCCTTTTAGGACATGTGAACTTCAAGTCCCAGAATTCCTGAGCCAGCCATGCAAGTCATAAAAGGTTTCCCACCCCTGTTCTAAAGGAAGGTGGTTCCATTTCATAGACACAATTTTTTTTCTCTCTCTCTCTCTCTTTCTCTCTCTCTCTCTCTCTCTCTCTCTCTCTCACACACACACACACACACACACACACACACACACACACACAGAAGCACAGAAGCACAGAAGCACACACCATGCAGGAGAAATGAGAAAAGAAGGTAGCCAAGTGAGGATGCAGAAGCAAAGAATGGTCCTGGATAATTAGCCATTAGTTTTTAATTGAGAAGTTGGAAGCAAAATGATGGTATTTATAACTTAAATTACACCATACTGCAATAATTTGGATAAATGAATGATGAATTCAAACAGAATTTGTCTGGAAATGGCATAATTTCCTTACAAGTATAGGAGTGAAGCATATGATGATGAATATGACATAAGGTAAGCAAAATCTCACAAATTTGCAGCTTTTGCATCTTTAGGATCTAGCAGTGATTGTTTTTCACAGACAGAGCTGTGGAAGATCTACCACCTACAGTCCTGAGATGCCTAGTGCCAATTCTGATCATGATGGCAGCTATTCTGAACGCATCAGTAAGATTGGCATACAGAGATTGTATCTATTTAGTATGCTTACTACAATACAGTTTCTCTAAATTTTATGCTAATAAACGAACCATCAATGAAGTGCTTCCTGTTCCAGATTTGTACTTCCACAGGAGAAACTTACCTCTTGAAACATCTTTAGTTCAGTGGTTTCCAAAACATAAGTTTTCAGAGAATGACACAAGCTCCCAATGTACTCTTCACAATGTTTATCTTAACTTGGCAGGGACTCAAAATATCTACATACAAGAGCCATGATGGCTCAGTGGTTAAAATGCAGCATTGCAAGCTAACTCTGCCCACAGCCAGGAGTTTGGGAGGTTGAACCTCAGCTCAAGGTTGACTCAGCCTTCCATCCTTCTGAGGTCGGTAAAATGAAGACCCAGATTGTCATGGCTAATATGCTGACATTTGTAAACCACTTAGAGAGTGCTGTAAAGCATTATGAAGCGGTATAGAAGCATATGCTTATGCTATTGCTATATACCCCATCCCAGACAAGAGAAAAATCCTAGTTGTAACATAAAATGAAAAGAGATGGATATCCAGTTTTCCAAATATCCCCTTCTCATTACAGTCCCTTTGCTATACTTTAAAAAGCTTGTTATGAAACCACATCTCAATCATTAATTTACTGAGTTTAGAAAATATGACAGCTAACAGATAAATGTTTTACTCTGCTTTTACTCGTATTCAGGCAAATGTACCTCCTTCTCTTTGCTTATGAAGGCAAGCCATGGATTGTTTTCTGAAGTAGGCATGAGTTTTTGAAAGGGCCTAAGAAGTTATGGCTGGATCATTACAGATAGTCCTTGACTTATGACCACAAACTGAGCCCCAAATCTCTGTTGCTATGCAAGACAGTTATTAAGTGAGTTTTGCCCCATTTTATGACCTTGCCACAGTTGACTTTGCTTGTCAGATGATCGCAAAAGGTGATAATGTGACCCTGGGACACTGCAACATCATAAAAGGTAAAGGTAAAGGTTCCCCTCGCACATATATGCTAGTCGTTCCCGACTCTAGGGGGCGGTGCTCATCCCCATTTCAAAGTTGAAGAGCCAGCACTGTCCGAAGATGTCTCCGTGGTCATGTGGCCGGCATGACTAAATGCCAAAGGTGCACGGAACGCTGTTATCTTCCCACCAAAGGTGGTCCCTATTTTTCTACTTCCATTTTTTATGTCCTTTCGAACTGCTAGGTTGTATTTATATATTATATTAAATATAATATTAAATTATATTAAATATAATATTAAATTATAAATTAAATTATATTTAACATCATAAATACATGCAAATTGCTAAGCATCCCAATTTTGATCATGTGACCATGGGGATGCTGCAATGGTTGTAAATGGAACAACCAGTGGTAAGTCACTTTTTTCAGTGTTGTTGTAACTTTGAATGGTTACTAAATGAATAGTTCTAAGTCAAGGACTACTTGTATATAACGTTCACCTTTTGTACACCACTAATCTCAAATGGTTTTCTACAATTACTGAAATAAAAAAGACATCATTTGATTAAAGTCTCCCCAAGAAATCACAGAGTGTTTTCATTATAATTCAATAGAGAATTAAGCACAGAAATGTAATTACTAAAATTGGAGTGTGTAATGTTTCCAAGCAAGTTTTTCCCACAGAAACTTTCTTGCAACTATTAGCATTGTATATCCCAACATTTGTAGTGAAATGAATGAATTTGCATGGACTTTGGAAGCATGTACAAAACATGTGTTGCCTCAAAATCTTCGTACAACTTTCATGATAGCCTTCTTCAAAATGATGCTTTCCAATTGTTTTAAAACACAATTTCTTCTCTAACAACTATGGGTAGGTTAAAAATAGGGAAGGTACCATTACAATATTTATGTATACAATGTATATCCCATATTTTTTTTTATGGTTGAAAACCATCACATGTTTAGAACAATATATAAAGCAGACTGCCAGCTTTTTAAGTGGTTTTCTGCACTTTCCAGTATCTGATTGTCTTGCTGACATGATCATGCATCTCGGTTTGGTTGCTTTCTGCCAGCCAAACTACTATTAAAAGCACCTAACCAAGTAAAGTCAGTTGGCTGCTCTACTGCAAAGTCAATGAGTCCTCAAATATAGACATATTCCGTTAGGTTGGCTATTTCCTATTGCTGTTGAAGGACCTGTCAAAGGAGGATCGTTGCCTCTTAGCATCTGAAAATAAATGTTGATAAAGAAAGAAATCTGAAAAAAAATCAGAGTTCTTTTGTTTTCAGCACTGAATTAGAGGATTTTATTACCCCACTGCAAATTTCTATTTTTTCCCTCTGTTCTTCCAGTCTTCTTAAAAACCAGATGAATGCACCATTTTCATAAAACTTTTGAGGAAAACTGTAGTGCCAGAAGGTTAAATAAGACCATGCTGTTCAAGCTCACAATTACAAGAGGAATTTGTGATGCTTTCAGTGCAATTTTGCCTTTTCATATTCTTTGCCTTGTCCCATATTTGTAGTTAATTGTCCTTCGGAACAATCAATCAACTGCAGCAAAGTTCTTTTTCCTATCGTGTTTCAAATATTTTACATCTATTGTATTTTTTTATAGCTATCGTGCAACTGCATAAACTAAAAAAGCATATATTAAGTCCTTTCACTGCCTTGAGGGAGGAGCATGACTTCAATCCATACCCCAACACATATTTTACTCAAGTTTGCACCTTGTTGCTTTGGATTAATCCTCCCTTGAAAATGTTCTACTTCTTTCTTATAAAAGTGTCCCCAGCCTCTGTCTTCAGCTTCTGAGATCAGAAAGCATACAGAGGGTCCCACCTAGCTTTTGGTTTCAATAGAATAGCCCTTGAATCCATTGGATATCTGGATTTGTTTTGGGCTGTGCCTACCAAAATGCTGCAGTAATGATATCTGTGATTTTTGAGGACTTGGCCACTCTTTCTTTAACAACCTATAACCATACCTCAGTCGTGAGACATTTTTTTAATTGTGTGTTAAACAGAGTAAGTGATCCCGGACTTGAGAACTGAAGATGATTTATAAGAAGCAAGAAATCAAGACAAGATTAATGATACATTCAAGGTGAGACAGGGGAGTTATGGGGAAATCTAAAGCCAAGAGTTAAGAGAAAAGAGAAGAAAGAGAACAATGCTGTATAAAAAAGAGCTGTACAAGTAACCAACATGAAAGTCTCACTTAATTGGATTTGTAATATTTCTAGTCAATGAAGTCACATAAAGTTTTTAAAAAACCATTTTGCTGAAACTAACCCATTTATTCATTGCTCATAATGGTTATTTTAAAACATTGTCAGTGACATTATTCATAAAATTTTGCAAGATCAGACAAAATAGCACTATTCTGAACTACAAGGCTGAGATACATAGTAATATACAAGCATATACAGAACAGATTTTGTTCTTACTTTGGCAAAAGGAAGAAAATAACTCAAACACTATGAAGTGAGAAACTGAATATGGAGACAATGTGGAGTGGATAAATGGGAAAGGTTAAGTATTTCTGCTGAACTGGCATACACAACCATCCTTCATAAAGTGATGTTCTAAGGAAAGAAATTGGGACGGCCAAAAACAAATGGGATAACAATTCTTTCTCTGTATGAAATGTGCAAGAAATTAATTCTGGAGCTAACTTGCTTTCCTTGCCATTTATAATATTGTATTTTATAGAAGTATATTTATTATAGCAATGTCCAATTTTTTTTTCCAAAGAATTCAAGTCAACATAGGGAGTATAATAGCACTCATGCTTCTCAAGTTCATTTGCTGGATTCAGGCAGAGAATTGTTCTTCTTTGAGTTGAACTTAACTCTTGGTAACTTCAGGGACTTATCCTTATAAGTCTTGCCCGCAACAAAATCGAGATGATTGCTGTTCTTGGATAGCATGAATTTTTTTTTAAACTTCCCAATCTAAATTACAGCCAAGGAATCTTCTAGTGGTCTCTCCTGTGGGTACTAACCACATTGCCCCTTCTTAATATTTCAATAATAGCCAAGATTGGCTAGCTAATTCACCTAGCCGGCATGTCCCTGATTATTGTAAAATATGTGTAACCCAAATGTTATATTTCTTAGACCCATATCAGCTTTGAAGAAATTAGTTCTTCATGTAAACTGCATTGATATATATCTAACATACATAAATACAGAATTGAGAGTGCTTCCGCCATTTGGGATTCATTGTTGATTTTCTTCTTCTCTGGGGAAAGCAT